TACTCGATACTGCTTAGGTGCTTAGTACTCGGTACCGCTCAGTACTGCTTGGTACCGCTCGGTACTCGATATCGTTCGGTATTGCTCGGCACTGCTCGGTACCGAGCGATACTAGAATTCAGTACAGCTCGGTACTTGGTACTGCTCGGTACTGCTTAGTACCTCTCGGTATTGAGCGATACTAGAACTCAGTACCGCTCGGTATCGGAACTAGGTACCACTCTATATCGCTCGGTACTGCTCGGTATAGAGGGGTACCGAATGGTACCAAGAAGTAGAACAAGCCTATCCTTATATTTTCTGGACACCATGTGTTATGCATACGCTTAATCTTGCCTTGAATAACATTTGTGCAGTTAAGAATACCGAGGCAAACGAAATCACATATAATGAATATCATTGGATCACTGTGATTGTTGGAGATGCAGTTGTAATTAGAAAATTTATTATGAATCACTCTATGAGACTCTCTATGTTCAATGATTTTTCGAATTTGAAGATGCTTGCAGTAGCTGAAACTCAGTTTGTCTCAATTATAGTGATGTTTAAAATTCAAAAAAATTAAAAATGCTCTTCAAGCTATGGTGATCAGTGACAAATGGTCCTGTTATAGGGAAGATGATGTTGGAAAAGCTAAGTATATAAAGGAGAAGCTTTTAGATAATTTATGGTGGGATGAGATTGAATACATCTTAAACTTCAGAGATCCAATTTATGAGATGTTGAGAGTAGTGGATACAGATAAGTCTTTTTTACATCTCATTTATGAGATGTGGGATTCAATGCTAGCCAAAGTAAAAGAAATTATATATAGACATGAGAGGAAAGCAGTTCATGAAGACTCAAGCTTTTGGGATATTATTTATGCTATTCTAGAATATAGGTGGAGCAAAAGTAATATACCTTTACATTGTTTGGCTCACTCACTAAATCCCAGGTAAATTTCAATATTTTTATATTATTAATTTACAATTTGTTGTTTAGTAATTTCAACATTTTTTATTATTTACTTGTAATATTTTTTGAAGGTATTCAACTAAAGAATGGCTTCAAGAGGATCCTCAAAGAGTTTCTCCACATAAAGATTTAGAAATTTCAAATATGAGGAAGACATGTTTGAAGCGTTATTTTCCAAATGAGGAGAAGAGAAGAAGTGTCAATATTGAGCTTGCTAAATTTTTTGGTTATTTAGAGGACTTTGGTGACCAAGAGTCATTGCGTGATAGGTGGAGAATTGATCCGAAAATGTGGTGGATTATACATGGAGCTTCAGCACCTCTACTTCAAACAATCACCATAAAATTGCTTGGTCAAATTTCATCCTCATCCTGTTGTGAAAGAAATTGGAGCACATACTCGTTCATCCAATCAATGAAGAGAAATAAAATTACTCCACAACGG